GTAAGTCTCTCCTCGTGTGTTTGTAAGAGAGAACCAGCTGCTATTGAGTTTCCCATTTTGTTCCAGATCTGCCTCCACAGACTATCAAAAGAAACGAGGAGCCTACAAAAAGAGAGACAAAATTCAAGAAAACACACATATACAAAATTGTGGTGAGTGGGGGTGATTTAAATAAATACATTTCACTCCATTTCCATGTTTCCTGCAACTTAAGGTAGCCATCTCAAGATTCATACATCAAGACATAAAACAAAGGGCGGCTTTGAAGTGGATCACCTCGGTGTGAACTGCCCCCTGTTACACGGTAACCGATCATCAGCCTTCAAATTTATGGTGCTTTAATGGGGTGAACCCAGTGCCTTAAATGCAAGCTGTATTACAGTATTAAGTTATCTGGGTTAAATAAGAGTGATTTAGAATTCGCATCCAGGGCTCCCCATAGGGCAGAAGAATCTCACGCGGAGAGATCAGGAGAAGGGGGGGGGCAAAACGTAAATAAATCCTCTCCGGAGCAAACCCGCAAAGAAGGATTTTAAACAACCGAAAGTAGCAAAGCCATCTGGGAGAGAATCGTTGCTCAATTCCAGTGAGTTCACAAGAATGCCCAGTAAGAGGTTTGTTTCCCCGAAAGGTCCCCGTGGGTTTCGGAGGCCCTGGTTGAGGCAAAGCAGGGAGAATAAAGAGCCTTGGAGGATTTTGGGGGGAACGGATGCAAGCAGCGCTCCCTCGCCTCTCCCTTCTCTTTAGACTGGTCGGGACTGACTGAACGCCCTCCATCTACTGCAACTGCAGCGCTAGACAGAGCCTGGCGACTTGCCGTCCCCTCCCGTCCCCGGGCTTCCCTCTCCCGGGGCCTTCCCCACGGCCTGCCGCCGGCCGGCCCGCGCCGGGCGGGCCGCTGCGCATCCATCCAGCCTTCCGGAGAGTGAGGCCGCGGCGCGGCGGGCAGCAGGTCTTTGGTCCTCGGCGAGCTCCGCGCGTCCCCTCCCGCCGCTGGCAGCAGAACCGAGCTGCTCGCAGAGGCGGGCGCCGGCTACTTTATATAATCCGGCTGCTCCCAGCGTGCGCGAGCGGGAAAAGTGCGGAGTAGGGAATTCTTTTGCTGTGCTGCCTCCTACGCGGAGCCTGCTTTCCACTTCTGAAAAGTGCCGGGCCTTGGGAAGTGTTTTTCTTTTCATTCCTTACTGAAGCGTTTACTGCCGCCGTGGTCGCAGTCATAAATTTTGTTACAAACCACAATGACAGGTGCATTGATATGCACCGTGAGAGCTCCAGCTGCTTCATAACCCCGTCCCCTGGCCGCTGTGAGCGCCTTTTATTTATTCGGTATCATATTAGGTATTGATCCTGGGCAGAATTAAGTGCAGCGAGCAAGTATCGGGGCTCCGCTGCTTTGGAGGCACGGCGGGTGCGGCAGGCCAGCGCGGCCAGGAGCCGGCGGCGGTAGCGGTGAGGTCGCCTTCCTTCCGGCTGGTGACCATTTGGCCCAGTCTTCCGGGCCTGGGGTTAGTTCCCCCTCACGCTCCCCCCCCCCGAAAAAAAAAAAAATTAAGTAAGAATCAGATTCAGCTGCTACTCTCCCCCCCCCCCCCCCCCCCGGCTTACTTGGTCAACTTCCAGAGATTTGGGGAAGGACTAACCAGTCCCATTTGGTGTCCTTTCTCCTAGAGGACCAGGGGATGGCACAGAAGAGTATAGTGTGGCTGCACCTTCATGTTTCCCTCTTCCCCCGCCTCCGCCACTCTCCAAGGGTGGAAGGGAGGCAAAGAAAGAGGAAAGAACAACTGAAAACTTAAAAAAAAGAAAAAAGAAAAGCCAAGCCCCAGCTCGATAGGCCCCTCCCCCCCTCCAGGGCCTAACTTCCCCCCCAGGGCCTAACTTCACCCCCTAGGCATTTGGGTCTTGGAGCCCAGATGAGCAAAGGTACCAAAGGGTGAGAAAAGAAAGCCTTAAGGGGGGGGGGAGGTGATCGAAAAGATGAGCCACTGAACAGTTGACCATTGTCCAAGTGATTTATGACCCAGTCCTGCTTTTTAGGTTCAAGCAGAGTTCACAAGGAGTAGGGATTTCTGGAAAGAAATAAGCCCCCCCTTTTTTTAAACCAGTTTGGTAACAATATTCTCAGGTTTTGCTTTAGGAGAGGGGCTTCTTTGGAGCATTGTCTTTCAGGAGGTCTGTGAAGTCTTTCCCAGTGAGGACAGCTCAGCTGCTGCTCTTGCTTGTGGGGAAATGTACATTAAGGTACCAGATCATCTTTAAATGGGCCTGGACATTCCTTAAAACAGTGTAAACAGGCAGAAGAACAGGCTGGTTCTACAGGGAGCTACTCAATGTTTCTACCTTGAAGATCTGTGTACAAGGATTTTGGTGTTTTTTTTTCTAGGAATATGCTACAGGAACAAATACATATGTAAAGTCATCTGTCCCATAGACCTACCCAGTTCTTAAAGAAGCAGTTTTAATATTACTGTTCCACTTACGATAAACTTGGTCAACTTGGGGGGTGGGTTGTTTTGCTTCTAGGATGACAGAAGCAACAGAAGTTTTGGTGGTCTGAGAGCCTGATGTAGCCACATAGACATTCAGAGCATTAAACCTAGAAACAAGAGCTCAGAAAAGTCCTGAAACTAATCCCAATTGGCAGGTCCTATGGCTTGGGGGCAAACTTATGTAAATATTAGTCACAGGATGAGGATCTGTCTCTCCATTTGATTTTCAGTAACTTTAATAGCTAGGGTAAGATATAAGAAATTTATTGAAAAAAATCATTCTGATGTAAGCTAATTTTAAAAAAACAAGAAAAAATTAGGCCATCTTTGTTAGGTAGATACATTAAGTGCATACATTTACACACACTAATAGAAACAATTCCTATAGCATCTCATTATAGTATCTATATCTTGTTGAGAAAGGCCCGTCTCTTATCAAGATAAAATGGACAACAATACTACCAAGCAAAAGGTAATTTGAAATATTTTCTTAATTGGCTAGACTCTTTGCTGAAAGTAGAGGGGAAAATGAGTGAATGGAGAAATGTTTTTCATATCTGTATTCAGAGCCATTGGGCCATATAAGCTATATAATGTGGTTTCTCTTGATGACCATGATAAAAGGTAGGGAAACTTTCTGGGAAGTAAAGTTGCCTAGAAGATGAGATCAAGAATTAAGACCAGAGAGCTGACCTGTGCATTTTCTTTATCAAACAGACAAAAGTGATTGAATACTATTAGTTATACTTTAACTCCTTAGGAGTCTTTCAGAAGATGAAGGGGGGAAGAATGAGAAGAAGAAAAAAACCCATGAAGAGTCAAGGGACACAAAAGGGGTAGAATTTTTCTTACTTTCCCCCCCTCAGAATTCTGAGTCTCATTCATCATGTCCTGAGAGATAATCTCATTGGCTGTGGATTGGGCAGGACATGGGGGTGAAATAGGTGATTCAGAGCAGATGTCAATAATATTATCTATTTAAATAATAGATTCAGAGTAAAATGATAAAGTAATAAAATATTTCCATTCGCTCATACTGCATGCATTTTAAAATCTAAATCCCTTCACTCATTTTCAGTGTCATTCCTTTTTTTAAAAAGTGGGAGGACAAAGTACAGGGACTAGAAAAATGTAGATAAGAGGGAAAAACTACTATGGCTTCAAAGTAAGTCTGGGATGTGTGTGTGTGTGTGTGTGTGTGTGTGTGTGTGTGTGTATGTGTGAACTCAGAGCCTAGGTGCTGTTCCTGAACATTTTTGCTCAAGGCTAGTATTCTAACACCTGAGCCACAGCTCCACTTTTGGCTTTTATTGTGGCTAATTGGAGATCACAGTCTCAAGGACTTTCCTGCCTGGGCTGGATTTGAACCATGATCCTCAGATATCAGTCTTCCAAGTACCTAGAATTACAGGCATGAACCACTTGTGTGCCAGGCCAATCTGGGGATCTTTCAAATCCTTGTCTTGGCTTTTATCTCCTAGTTTATCACATATTAGATGTCATTGTGTTGATACATACAAATAACTGGGCAGATTCTCATCCTGTCATCACATAATGGACTGAGTCTTTGTGAAAGATGCTGTCATTTTGAAGCCACGCCAGGAAGGTACTTTTGAGGAGGGATCTCTAACAGTGTGTTATAGGACTCTCTTTTGCCCATCAAAATACAGGGATTAGCCAAGCACTTAAGGCTCACACCTGTAATCCTCGCTACTCAGGCAGCTGAGTTCTGAGGATTGCAGTTTGAAGTCAGCCCAAGCAGAAAAGTCTGTGAGGACTTTTATCTCCAACTAACTGTTCCCAAAGTGGAAGTGGAGCTGTTGCTTAAAGTGGTAGAGTGCTAGCCTTGAGTACAAAAGCTCAGGAACAGCACCCAAGCCCTGAGTTCAAGCCCCATGACCAACAAAACAAAAAGCAAAAACCAAACCACTGGGATTATGAGCTGTAGAGTGCTTGCTTTGTGTATATAAGACTGGGTAGGATCTACACTACTAAACAAACAAGCAAACAAAAACACAGGGTTTATCAGAGATTGATTGATCTTTTCATTCATTCACTATTTCATTCATTCATTCAATAAACATTTATTGCAGTTACAACAGGAAGGTCATAGCACTAGATGTTAATAATATACAGAATGAATTAAACTCCATGTTGGCAAGGAGCTCACAGTTTAGGGGAGGCCATAAATATTTTTCCATGCAGTTCAAAAGCTAAACTGACATTCTTGGAGAAAGAAAAATATTTTAGGAGCACCACCTGGGAATGCAGGAGAAAGCACCTTTGCCAGGCTAAAGTTGAGCTAAAGGAAAGGTGTTACCTCTCTCCTTATATTTGTGTAATTTCTTCTTTCAAAGGATTCAAATAAACTTCATAGAACCCCAGATTTAGAACCTTGCCCAGTTCTCCACTATGAGGTGGATGGGAAGGAGCGCTTGGGCTAGTCCTTCTACATAGACTGGTCTTGCCAATGACAGTCCCTCTGGGGCCTCTCACTTTTCTTCTTGACAGGTCACCTGGAGCCTGAGGGCTGGACCAGCACTCTCAGGACTCAGCAGACACTGGAAGTAGTGGTGAAGGACACAGTGGTAGTCAATGTTATTTGAGCAGGGTCAGCAGGCCCTGGAGCTTCCTGAGTGCACCATGCAGAAGGCTGCATACTATGAAAATCCAGGACTCTTTGGAGGCTATGGCTACAGCAAAGCCACCGATACTTATGGCTACAGTAACCCCCATCAGCCATATCCACCCACTGCTGCTGCCAGCTCCCTGGACACTGAGTACCCAGGTTCTGCCTGCTCTATCCAGAGCTCTGCACCTCTCAGAGCCCCAGCCCACAAAGGGGCTGAACTCAATGGTAGCTGCATGCGACCTGGCACTGGGAACAACCAGGGTGGGGGTGGTGGTAGCCAGCCTCCTGGCCTGAACTCAGAGCAGCAGCCATCACAACCTCCTCCTCCACCACCTACTCTGCCCCCATCCTCACCCACCAATCCTGGAGGAGGAGGAGTGTCTGCCAAGAAGGCCAAGGGTGGGCCTAATGCTTCTAGCTCCTCTGCGACCATCAGCAAGCAGATCTTCCCTTGGATGAAAGAGTCCCGACAGAACTCCAAGCAGAAGAACAGCTGTGCCACTGCAGGTAGCTCTGGGGGGTGTGGGGGGAAGGGGTCATCCTGGATCCAGAAAACCCCATCACTCAGTAAACTAGAGACCAAGGGGCTCTAAGGGTAACCTTGGAGACCATATATCTAAACTCCAACTCCTTCCTTCTTAGTGTTCTTGTTTGAGTTCATTAAGTGAGCTCACTTAAATTCTGGAATGCTGGGACTCAACATACTGACTTTATGTTTTCTTGGGTTGCTGGCAAAAGTCAGTTCTTTCTGCTAACCTTTCAAAATTGGGCTGGGTTTAATGGCACATGTCTGGAGTGCCAGCAATTGGGAGGCTGAGACAGGGGGATCTCTATGTAGCCTGGGCTACATAGCAAGACTACAACCAGCAAGCAAGCAAACAAACAAAACCATACTAATTTACAAGAATTACTGATATATTTAATTGTTCAAAAAAGTTTTTAAGATAGGTATGTGATAAGCAACAAAATAACATTCTTACTTTTATAGATAAGTAGATAAGGAAACTTTTAGTAAGGCTAAATAAAACTTGCATAAGATCATGAAACTCAGGGTTGGGAAGTTGGCTCAGTGGTAGAGTGCTTGCCTGGCATGCATGAGGCCCTGGGTTTGATTCTTCAGCTCCACATAAGAAGAAAAAAAGCCGGAAGCGGCACTGTGGCTCAAGTGGTAGGGCGCTAGCCTTGAGCTGAAGAGCTGAGGGACAGCGCCCAGGCCTAGAGTTCAGGCCCCATGACTGACAAAAAAAAAAAAAAAATCATGAAACTCAAGTGGTGGATTTGAATTCAACTAGTCTGACTCTCTAAGGGTCTACAAGGAATAAAGCTGACACCCCAGTTTAAGTTTCCCACTTTAGAGAACCCATTATGGCTATTCTAGTATGTCCTAGGGAGAAAAGGTGTGTTGAGAAACAGAGGAGACCCTAGAGTCTCCTTTTCCAGGTCTATCCAGAGCATGTGGAAGAAGATGGGCATGGTCAGGAGGTGATGTTTTGCTCCTTGTTTTTGCTCAGACTGCTTGGTTCCTGAAATTTCCTGACCTTGTGCTCTCTGATGGTGTTTATTTTCAGACAGATGAGCATGCTTCTGAGTCCAGGGCTAGTTGGGGGCCTGGGATGTGACTTGTTACCAGGTTTCTGGTCTGCCTGCTGTTCTCTGGGCTGCTCCTCCTGGGGGGAAAATATCTTCCAGCCTGCAAGCTCCTTCTCCTGTCCCTCCCTCCGCAGCTCAGGAGCAGGCCCTCCCTCCCAGGAGAAATCCATTTGTCTTCTCAGTGAGGGAGTGGACAAGCAGCTGAGAAGTGGCAGGGGTGGTAGAAGGCAGTGTTGAGGTCGCTGCTCCTAGCACTGCCATACTCAAAATGCTTCTAGCCTGTCTGTGGGACCCCCAAAACTCCAGGGAAGATTTGTTTTTTTTGCTTGTTTGTTTCTTTGTTTATTACATCCCTGTCTTTGGATGCAGCTGGGCTGGATCAAGACACCAAGATCTCCACCCCTATTTCTTTGCTTTCTGGGGTGCTTAGCTTAAGAACCAGCCTCTAAACAAAGCAGGCTGGAGCTGCTTCCCCCAACCCCAGCAGCAAAGATAGGAAGCAGTGTTCAAAGGAGTCTGGCCTTTCTTTGTAGTGGTGGGGAGGCTTTGCCAGCTGCTCCTAGTCTTGTATTCAAGTCTTTCATAGCCTGTGGGTTGGGAAGAGATGATGGGCTAGGATAAAGGGGAGGACAAAGTAAATTGTACCCTAGACGCAGATGGAGGTTGCAGGTGCGACTTATAGGTAGGCGGGGTGGGAGGTGGGGGGGAGTGAGCTGGGGTGGTGTGCGTGTGTGTGTGTGTGTGTGTGTGTGTGTGTGTGTGGTTATCACTTGGAATCTTACCTCTCAAAAGTACCTGCCCCAGCCGGGATTGGAGGTGGGGGAAAGACTGAAGTACCCCTGTCCATTCCTGGGGGTCCCTCACCCCCTCACTCAGCGTCCTCTCTCCCTCCCTCACCCCCTCACTCAGCGTGCTCTCTCCCTCCCTCCTTGCCCAGGGGAGAGCTGTGAGGACAAGAGCCCACCGGGCCCTGCGTCCAAGCGGGTTCGCACGGCTTACACGAGCGCGCAGCTGGTGGAGTTGGAAAAGGAGTTCCACTTCAACCGCTACCTGTGCCGGCCGCGCCGCGTGGAGATGGCCAACCTGCTGAATCTCACCGAACGTCAGATCAAGATCTGGTTCCAGAACAGGCGAATGAAATACAAGAAGGACCAGAAGGCCAAGGGCATCCTGCACTCGCCAGCAGGCCAGTCCCCCGAGCGCAGCCCGCCGCTTGGAGGAGCCGCCAGCCACGTGGCCTACTCCGGCCAGCTGCCACCGGTGCCCGGCCTGGCCTACGACGCCCCGTCCCCGCCAGCTTTCGCCAAATCGCAGCCCAATATGTACGGCCTGGCCGCCTACACGGCGCCGCTCAGCAGCTGCCTGCCCCAGCAGAAGCGCTACGCAGCGCCCGAGTTCGAGCCCCACCCCATGGCTAGCAACGGCGGCGGCTTTGCCAGCGCCAACCTGCAGGGCAGCCCGGTGTACGTGGGCGGCAACTTCGTCGACTCCATGGCGCCCGCGTCGGGGCCGGTCTTCAACCTGGGGCACCTCTCGCACCCATCGTCGGCCAGCGTGGACTACAGCTGCGCCGCGCAAATTCCTGGCAACCACCACCACGGACCGTGCGACCCTCACCCCACCTACACAGATCTCTCGGCTCACCACTCCTCTCAGGGACGCCTGCCCGAGGCCCCTAAACTGACACATCTGTAGCGATCGCCGCGGACTCGAACTCGCGGCGCAATTACCTCTCTTGCTTTGGTGATGGGGTGGCGGGGCGGGGCCCGCAGGGCAGTTGGGGGGGACCCTCCTTCCCTTCCCCTCCCCCTCTGGTCCGGCTGCTGCCTGCTGGATCTGGTGGCGGAGGCGTCTGAGACCGGGCCTCCCCTCTCTGCGCGCGTCTTCCTTTGGGTGACTCGCCATAAATCAGCCACAAGGATCCTCCCCTGTAAACCCGACAGTGCCACAAACTGCGGACCGAGGGACTCCAATCTGGTAATGGTGTCCCGAAGGTAAGTCCGAGACCCGCCAGCGGCATGTCCTGCAGAGGAACTAGAACCTGGAGAGTCCCGGGCTGGCCCGCATCTAGCATAGTTTCGGAGACCTTAATTTATATCCTTCTTCCCCTCCCAACGTAAGGATTGCCTCGGACTAAACGACCTGTATTTATTATTTGAAGCGAGTAATTTCGTTTCCCTGATTATTTATCCTCGTCTTAATGTATTTATGTGTATATTTGTAGAATTCTCCAGCCGAGTTTAGGTACACGCTCCATGGCCTTGGGGGCTACATTTCACCTCTTTAGTCCCTTTGGTCAGAACTAGTTGAAAGAGTAGTTTTGAACAGTTATAACCGTGGCTGGTGTTTGTAGTTGCTGTAAAGGATTGAGACCACAAATTGTCCTTCATGGGTAGAGTCAGGCAGCCCGGTGTATGGCAAGACGCGTTATTTTCTCTACAGCAGCAGCCTTGGCCACTCGACACAGTTTATTGATTTCAAATTGTCTGGTACTATTTGAACAAATATTTAGAATAAAAAATTTTCTCTGTCAGAGTGTATCTGTTCATGAACGCTTGCAAGCAGGTCATTCTTTCTTTATTCCGATGGAAGGCCCAGAGAAAGTTGACCCTTTGAAAATTGTTTATTTGGTATTTAGTGCACAAGTTGGTTTGGGGAGAAATACTTGATTACATTCCCACTATTGAAATGGGAAGGAGACCTTGGAGGATGCAAATCTAGAAAAATTCTGAGTGGGCTGATTGGAACAGGGCTTTGTCATGAGAGCACCTATCTTGATCTTTCTAAACACAATAGACTGTTACAGTAGGGAGTCCAGAGGTCATTCTTTTTCTGCATTAAGTAATAAAAAAAACTTTAAAAGAAACCTGACAATCAAAGAAAAGACGTGAGATGTAGTTAGAATTGACTATGAAAAAGCTAAGGTGTAAAAAAGGAACCCATTATTTGGAGACTGGCACCTGAGCTTTTTCTAAGAAATCCTGTCATGATTCCCCCCCCCCCAATGGTCAATAGTTCACTTCTAAAGAATACAAATGTTCTCCATGATGTAAAATAATCAACGTTTCATTCATGGAACATAACACATATACACATCTTGTTTACTCCTGTTTCTTTGTACAAAACGGACAAAAATGTCGTCTAAGATTTAGAACCACTTTGTAAATATTAGCGTGGCTCTTGCTTAGGGGTGGACAGCTTACACTTGCTTCCATGGGAGGGGGCATTTGGAAAACGCCTTCAGATAAGGTTCAATTCCTTTGTATTTCAGAGAGTCGGCCCACGCATCTCTATTTGGTTTGACAAATAATGCAACTCCTACTCCATCCCCAGTGACCGAGGTGAAATTCCTATTGTGTGGAAATAATTTAACTCCTAATCTTCTGGTGGAACAACACTCGTTTCTATTTGGATGTTTGTGTTTCGCTAAGTAATGATGGCTCAACATAATATTTAGTTTCCTTGTTCCTTTGTGCTGTTTTAAAAATGGCATGTTAGATTGGGGTGGGAGGGGACATCCTTTTGCTAAATTTCACTCTATCAAGCAGGTTTAAAGTATATATGTTGTAGAAGTGTATCAGCAGAATAAATGACTTCAATCGAAGGCATATTTTACCCACTTTCAAGGCGTAACATTGTTTTCTATGAAACTTGCATCCATAGGCAGAATTTCTAATTGTCTTGTAAGAAATTATTTTTTATGCTATTAGGGAAATCAAAGAAGAGCTTGCTGCCTTGCAGGGATTACAACTACCTTTCTTAACTGGCTAAATATTAAATAGATGAATTGTCAGGCTGTTTAGATTCAGCCCGGTTTCCCTCATCTCCTCGTCCTACCATAAATAATAATAAAAAATACATAATGCATCATGGCTCCAGGCGTTTTCCAGCTTGGTGTGTTACCGCAGGAGTATCTGCTGAGTCTGCGGGTGTCTGCAAAGCCCCAAGTGTCATCTGTGGCTTAGGGTTTCATGGATTAGACTTTAAATGGTGTCTAGCTCGGCTGACATCAGCTTCCTCTCACACTCAGGCTTGGGGCTCCAGGGAAGTGCAGGATTGGGGGGCTCCTTCCCAAAGGCCCTGCTAGAGAGGAGAAGAAGAGGGGGAGGGAGAGAGAAAGAGAGAAAAAGAGAGGGGAGGGGAAGGGACTAAGGTTGGGGTGGGGGAAGAGAGATATTAGAAGATGGAGGAAACTTATGGGACCAAATCTGCAGCTTTTTCTGACCTCTGGAGGTTCCTGAGACTTCTGAGAATTGCTGGATTTGTTGCAGGCACTGGCGTGAGTTCTGTGGCGGGTACACAGGTCACTCCTGGTGTGGGTGGGGGTGGCGCGCTCCTACGCGGCCAACCGCCCGGGTGAGCGCTGGACCCGAGGCACAACCATTTAAAACTTCATAAATTATAAACAAGCCGCCTTGGCCTTCACTGTAAATTCCGCTCCTCTTGAGCCTGCAATTAGTGTTAGGAAGCAGCAGAGTCTAAACACAACCAAACGCCCTCTGAAAGGCCCAACTGCTGGAGGTTGCAAACCTTTATTTATTTCCCAGTGCCACCCCCTCTGCAGCCGAGGTTTACACACACAGTTGCTACCTCCCCCGCCACCGCCGGCGGGACACACTCGGCTGGCTTCCCGCTCTGCCAAGGAAGGTCACAATAGCTGCTCTATCCACGGAGGCGCCGGCCTCCTCCCTCCCCGGGCTTCCAGAAGCCAGGAAAGAGTGGGGGAGGGGAGTCCGCTCAGGCAATGGCGCCCCGTTCAGGGTAGGGCCTAACAGTGGGGAGTGACGAGGGAAGAAAACCTCCTCCATCCTAACTCCTGTCTCGGTCCAGAGACTAGGGCTAGGGGCCAAAGAGGAGCACAGCAAGGCCTCCAGATCGTTCCAGACCGCATCTTGGGGCTGGGAAGATGCCCTGAGCAGCTGGTCCGCTCAAAGTAGGCAAGCCATTGTGTGCACAGCTTTCCTGGCGGTCTGCAGTGGAGCAGGCCCTTCGTGGGCCGCCAGCGGCGGAAGGCTGGAGGTGGGGAACGGCCAAGCCCAGCTCAGGGCCTTGGTCTCTGGGAGGTGTGTGCCTCTTTGCCAAGAGGAGGAAATGGCAATTTAGCTCAGGCCTTGGCCAATTCTTTCTACCCACCCCCCTCTACAGAGGTAGCTTTGAGGAAAATGGGGGCCACGAACGTTGTGGGTATCTTTCATCTGAAGAACCTTAGATCTAGAGTAAGTAAGGGGTAAAGGCCTTGCATCCAGGCTAATAGATGAAGGATGACTGTCGTTTGGACATCCTTGGTCGTTGTGCCCAGGCAATCAAATATGAATTAAGGCAAGATCTTGATAAGGCAGATGGAAGGGATTGCTACAAAATGGGAGGGTGCAGGAAAGACTCAGATAGAGGGAATGCATTCCTTACAACTAGGAGAAACTCAGCACCCGATCTAAAGTGCTCAGACCCAATGGGGCTCGCCAGGGGATTGTGCAGAAAGGTCTGGAGAGTAGCACTGGCCACTGGTAAGGAGGTAAGAAAGGACAATTGACTATCTATTTTGCCTTCTGGCTTTCAGACTTCAGCCTCATCCAGGGACCTGACATTGAAAAATCCGCCTCTGATGGAATCATTAAGTTAACCATCCATTTGTACCATTTCTTTGTACAGACTTTCAAATGAGAAAGGAAGGAATATAGAGCAAGTACATTCCCCTTGGTGCAGCCTCAAGTCCAGTCCCTATCAGCCAAACTGGGTTTAGAGACCCTAGAGGCCCTAACCTTGCTGAAAAAGATCACTTGAATTTCTATCCTTAAGGAGTATTAAAATAGTGATTACCTATACAAATTACTTGTTCTTTCTCCCATCCCCAGTCTATACCAGCCCACCAGCCTCTGAGGGAAGTGCCTCTTCTCAGCCAGCTCTCCATCTGTTGAAGTTTTTTCATTAGGGAGGGTGAAGAGGATATGTGTGGGTGTATGTTTGAATAACAAAGAAATAATCCTTCCTTCTGAAAACAAGTGCTCCTCTTCCAGAGTAGTGGAGTTAGAGGTTTGTTTATGCCTCCAATGTTCAAGGGATAGTGGCAGACTTGTTTTGACTTTATCCTGAGAATTAGTTGAAACTTTCTTCTGCAGGAAAGAAGTAGCTAATCTCAATTAACAAGGAAGGCCCTCTTCACCTAGGCGTTCTTGGCATTCTTTCAGAAACTAGAATGAAAGAGTAGAAAGAACAGAACTTTGTGAATAGATAAGAAGAGAGGCAGGCAGCTCCAGTCATCACAGGCTAATTGCCTAATCACTTCTGGGCATTGCAACTTTCCAGACATGTATACTTAGGGCCTGTGAACAGGCCTATTCTTATATACTCTGGGATACTTAGGGGGCTGAGACTGAGTGGTCCCCAGACAAAGTTTACCACCTTTGAAGGCTAGCTTTTATAGATCTCTCTAGACAGGATGGCGAGGTAAAGTATGGGTACATGAGTCCTTTCTTCAATGCTGGTGCTGGAGGGGATGAAGAATGGAGAGGATCATCACAGAGGAGAAATCTTCTCATTGTTCTCTTCCAGCTCTGAATGCCTTTATTTGGGGGTTCAAGGTTTATGTCAGATGGATTTATATACTTAGCCTTGAAGTCCATTCTCACACCACCTTGGCAGATTAGAAAGTACAAGACAATCCATATTTAGGCCAGGTCTAGAGTGAGCAAATTGATTAAAGATATGCATATATGGAAGAAGACGTAAGGTAGATGGATATCCAACCATTTGCAGTAGCAGAGGCAGGTGAAGGGTCTCCAGAAAATTTGTAAATTCTTCCTGCATGTGGATTCATATCCTAGATCTTGTGAGTTATTTGTTGGTGGTGGTGGTTGTGGGGCTTGACCTCAGGGCCTGGGCACTGTTTCTGAGCTTCTCTGTGTTCAAGACTAGTGCTCTACCACTTGAGCCACAGCACCACTTCCAATTTTTGAGTGGTTATTTGGAGATAAGAGTCTCACAGAGACTTTCCTGCTGGGGTTGACTTCTAACCACAATCCTCAGATCTCAGCCTTCTGACTAGCTAAGATTGTAAGCATGAGTTGTCCCCCACCTCCCCTTGACTTTTTTTTTTAACTTAAAAAAAAAATCTGCTGTTGAGCCCAGGGCTTGTAGCATGCCAAGTATGTAATGTACTCTTACCACTGAGCCCAACCCATGACAAAATATCTTGACTGGTTCCTGTGTGGCTCATTTTTGTGGAAGAATAAGAATAGTAATATCACAAGAGGAGTTTAATATTAGTGAGGACCAGAATAGAAGGAAGAGATCTTAATTTGAATCAGGATTCAGATACAAATGAAGTATTTTGATCTGAAGTGCTTGAGTAAGCTAGGGTAGGGGGGGCCTGTTGAGGCAGGGCCTCCCTCCAGGAGGGACAAGGGCATTCTTAACTAGGGAGGGAAGAGGAAGAACCTTTGATGGCCCTTTTGTTCTCAGAGTAGCCGCACATCCCTTGCTACCTCCTCTGTAGGACTCAGAAGGAAAGTGGGTTGGCTGTGCAAAAAGCTCTAGGGAGCTGCCACTGGGGTCCCCCATTCTCATCTACTGCCCCTTGGGGCTGCCACAACGCCATCCCCATGGCTACTAGAACTGGCCACACACAAAGGAAGCCCGGACTCGTCCTCAGATCTAAGGATACTGTAAGGAGGGGGTTGGTGAGGACCCCGAGGCCGGGTGCCTCGGTTCCCCGCGGGGAACAATAGCTACGGCCTACCAGGGGGCCGGGCGCTTTGCCGGGCCGCAGCACAAAGCCTACTCGGTCTGCACGCCACGTGACGCGCGCGATCGCCTGGCGGGCCAGGATGAGCAGAGTTCCTGGTTGCACCTGGAACACTCTGGAAGACAAACGGTGAGTTAACCACCTTATGGGCGGGCGGCTACATCCCTGTGGCTCGCGTGGAGGTCTAGGAGGGGGGGGGAGGGAAGGGGTGGAGTGTGTGTGTGTGTGTGTGTGTGTGTGCGCGCGCGCGCCTAGGGTGGGGGCGGGAGAGGTTAGTCCTATTAAGACTTCATCAATCACCCGGTGTGCACTTTTCTCTCGACAGCCATTCCTCCTACTTCAGAGCAAGTCTGGGCCAGCTGGGAGCCGACCAGAAACCGCAAGCAGAGGGGACGCCGGCGCGCGCGGGCGGAGCGCTCACCCAGGGCGTGACCCGCTGCCCCGCAGCAGGGACTGCGCTCTGCGCGCTGGCGCGAGGGGCGGCCAGGCGACGGCTGGCCACCTCCTCACACCGGGACCCGCACTGGGGCCCTCCAGCCCCGCGCTGGGCCTTCCAACACGCAGGCACCCACGACTGCCCCCGATCCACCCTGTGACCCTGCATTCCCCTACCCTTCTTACTGCTGGTCCCATTGCCAAGTGCCACCCTTACTCGCTGGTCTACTCGCAGACCAGGAGACCCCAATCTTTGAAGACAAAGCAAGGAGAACTCTAGTTGGTTAAGGCTTCTCTCTCTCTCTCTCTCTCTCTCTCTCTCTCTCTCTCTTTCTTTCTTTTGCAGATTAGTTTGCATGCAGGAGTGTGTGTGTGAAGTAGGTTAAAACTGTTGAACTTGGAATAAACTTGAATGACATTTAAAAATAACAATGAAAGTGTAATTAAAAGTTCAGGCACAACACTAGGTCTCTCTTTACTTTTCTAGTAGAGAGGAAAGACGAGTATTTTTCAACATGTAGTATATATATATTTTTTGTCGGTCATGGGGCTTGAACTCTGGGCCTGAGCACTGTCCCTCAGCTCTTCGGCTCAAGGCTAGAGCTCTACTACCTGAGCTACAGCCACTTCCAACGAGT